TCAAGGATGTACTCATGCTTGTCCCTTGAAAAGGGAGAAGTGGGTAGGGTCCCACACCAGTAGCACAGCTCCAGGGCACACTCAGTTCTGCTCCAGCCCATGCGTGTCACAGGAGGCTGCAAAAAAGGGGAACCTGATGACCCCACTGACCCTATGACCAATGACTACCGGTCTGCTCCAAAGTGACATTTGCTGATGTTTGCCTTAGCCCATTGCCTAATACTTGTCTTATCTCAATTAAAAATGTAACCCTAGAAACCAGGCTATGAGGTGGATAACCTTCTCTCTTCTCCAGGAAAAGTGGATGAGGGCACTTAAATGACTTGTCACAGGTTGTAACTGCAGAGCCAGAAATCAAATGCCAGCTCTCCAACTCAAGTCTGGGGTTCTCTGCCCTGAAGCCTGGCTCCTTCCTCATTTAATAGTTTTGAACCTTTTTCTTCACGTGTAAAATAGTAATGATAATGTCCATATCACAAAGTGTTGTCAGGATTAAGTGTTATGCATATGAAAATGCTTTGTGAAAGGGAAGTTCCATAACTACATAAGGGATTAACCTGCTGTCTGTCCATATAATAGTTGGAGTTTATTCCAACAGCCATCTAGGAACAAGAATGGGAACCTGGAGGAATATGAACACTTGTGACAGAAATACAGATATTAGAAGGAAGGAAAAAGATGCTTTTAGGGGAGGGAGGGAAAGGTCTCCAACCTTTACCTAATTAACAATCTTACCCAGGCTTAGCACTGATAAGAAACAGGAAGAACCAGTTAATCGCTACTTTGAACTCCAGGCTAACTCTTCCTGCCCTGTGGGTATGGGCCTAAGCTCCACTGAAGCAGGAGGACCATGAGAACTCCTGACTTGGGTCTGCAAACATCACCTACATGCGGGGCTAATGTCAGGGATAGTGGACAGAGCTGATTTCTCCCAAAGCAGGCTTTTTAGTCCCTCCTGTTCCCATTGAGCAGGTATTTCTGCCACCCTCATTTGGGCCTAACCACACCTGCTCTTCCACTGGGGGTTAAATTTTCTAAAGATCCCAAACAATTTTTTCACTAATGTTTTTGCCTAGATCTTTGAGCAAAGATAAGCCCACAGAGTGCCAACTGGACTTCAAAAGCGAACAGTAAGCCTCACTTGACCTCAAAAACACTCACTGTTTCCACTTGGATCTGTTTTGTAGCTGATGGATTTGTGCCCTACAAAGACAAAAATCCTTTTTCCTTTTTTTAAAGATTGGCACCTGAGCTAACATCTGTTACCAATCTTCTTTTTTTTTTCTTCTTCTTCTCCCCAAAGCCCCCCAGTACATAGTTGTATATTTTAGTTGTAGATCCTTCTGGTTGTGCTATGTGGGATGCTGCCTCAGCACGGCTTGATGAGTGGTGCTAGGTCCGTGCCCAGGATCCAAACTGGCGAAACTCTGGGCCACCGAAGTGGAGTGTGTGAACTTAACCACTTGTGGCCCCAAGACAGAAATTCGAATACATTTTGTTTTGATTGTATAGGTATGATTATGCATGCTGCCTTATTAAACAGATATTTGATGGAAGAGAATTAGGTGTTGCTGAGAACTGAATCCCCCATTTATAATTTTACTCAACTGACGATTACAAGTATTTTCCATAAAACTGCTTCTGGCTCTGTATGTTTCAAACCTTATTTTCCCTTCATCCCCCCGTACTTCTGGGGCTGGCAGTTATAGGACGTGTTCACATCACAATGTGACCTCAGGTCCTGTACTTTAGTGTCATGATGCTGGCACAGTGGGCAATAGGAAGGTTTCTGCACTGCAATGATGAGCAATAACTTGTGATACATGAAAGTGATTTTGAACCACATATACACATCCCTTTAAAAATGTTCCCTGGATTCTAAAATGTGGGGAATGTATCTTATTTTTATAAGTTTTATAAAGATGGCTCTGAGAACGCATTGCTAGGGGCCTTGAAGTTTAAGTTTTCTTAGCTTAAATCATTTCCCTGGGCATCAGCAAAGGAGACTGAAAGGGAGTGGTTAGAAAAGAAGGGGACATAGCAGGAGAAATTGTGGTGAGAAATCAATGACGGAGAGAGTTTCAAGGAAGAAACAGCAATCAGTGGCCTATTCCACAGAGAATCTAAGCATATCTTGCTTAGATACGGACTGGAAAGAATCCTGGTGGATACAAGGTCATTGCTGACCTCATTGTATGTGGGCAATAGACTATTTGGTCTATTTGTTTCTCCTCTCTTGTTCCTCTAGAATGGCTCCTAAAACCTACAGGAATAAGAAAGGTGATGCCATAAGCTGGCAATATGATTAGATATCTTAAGACGAAAGAAGCTTCATGAATTCTAAGAATGTGTCCTAAGAAAGCGTGAGAAAGAATTCTCTTACAAAGAAGATCATTGTGGTTTGATTAGAGAGCTGTGATAGCAGCTGTTTACCTAACAGCCCCACTGGTTAATGTGTGATGCTAGTGTTTTTGTGGATTTTGCCCCACAACAAATTTCCTTCAACATGCAGACATTTTTTTACCCTCAAGTCTTGTACTTTGCATCTCTGGAAGTCTCATTAGGGTCTTTAAAAAAAACTCTCATTTTTCTCCTCCTCGTGTTCATGTTTTCCTCTCTGTCTTAAACATAAGGATCATAGGATAACACTAATTTTAATGTCCTTTTCTGTTAATTCCATCATCTCTATAATTTCTGGATCTGTTTCTACTGTTTGATTTTTCTTCTGATTGTGGGTCAGATATTACTGGTATTTTTTGATTGGCCATGACCTTGGGAATTTTGTGTTATTGGGTGCTAGATTTGGTCATATTCCTTTCAATGGCGTCAGACTTTGTTCTGGTATTGCAGTTAAGTTACGTAAAATCAATTTGATCCTTGTGATGTTTGTTTTTCAACTTTATTAGGGCAGATCCAGAGCAGTATTTAGTCTAGGGCTCATTTAGTCTCACTACTGAGGTGATACCCTTCTGAAGACTCTATCCAATACCTTAGGTATTAGGACATCTTTCCATGCTAGCTGGTGGGAACACAAAATATTCCCAGCCCTGTGTGAGTTCAGGGAATTATTTGGTCTGTTGGTTCTTTGCCTGGCCTGGGGCAGTTTCCTCTCATGCACGCCAAGATAGTCACACGGTAACTGTCAAGATTGAATGGGGCCCCCTCCTCTCTTTCTGTGCAGCTCTCTCTTTGTTATTCTTTCCCATATACTCTAGCTTCTTTGGCTTCCCCGCATTCTGATCTCTGTCTCCTCAACCCAGTGATACCATTGATCTCTGTTTGGGTCACCCATGCTCTGTGCTGCAGCCTGAAAATTCTCCTAGGCAATAAGTGGAACTCGTCTCCTCTGTTTCTATCCTCCCAGGGATCAAGTCTCTCGCTGTCAGTTGTCCAATGTCTGAAAATCACTTTTTTCCACATATTTTGTTTGGTTTTCTAATTGTTCAAGGTGGAAGGGTAAACCGGTCCCTGTTACTCCATCTTGGCTGGAAGTGAAAGTTCTTGATGTGTTGATCTCTGATTGATGGCTAAGAGTAATGTGTTTCTCCACAAATATTCTTAGAATTTACTGTTGCTTAAACATATAAACAAAGGCCTGCCATGAAAATAACTTGTTTTCTACCTCTTTCCAGATCTAAATATCCCACAGTGGAACATTTTTCTTCTGATTATGTTGAGTAAATTTTTTTTTAAGAATGAGTTTTTAGGAAGATCTACAGAAAAGCATATTGAAAGAGTAAGGATTCAGTTGTGACAGTCCTTGGCTTCTTGAAAGAAATATCTTTAACCAATAATTAGTTTTCACTGCAGAGTAGTTTTTCCTGCAACATCTACATTGATTATAAAATATGTTGATGAACAAATGCAGGCCCCTCATATCCAGTTATTGCCCTCCTGTGTTATTATAATCTATTAAAAACAAACAATCCAATCAGTCAAATGTGAAATCATTTCATTTCATGTGTTCACTGACTATGAGAAAACTGAAATGAACTGTAAATGACAAACCAGCAGCTTTCTAATTACTGTAGCCCCATTGTAACAATTATTTGTGCAAGTAATTCCACTTCCTGTTGACTGTAGAGTAAGGAGCAATATTGTGAGAGGTTATGAAGCAGCAATTTCTGCCCAAAGTGCAAACATTGCAGATGTATGTTCTGAAACTGGAATGAAACATCACTAAAGATGGAAGCCTGAGGAATATCCTCATGAAACATTTCTTTTTATATTGAACCTTTTTAGAAACAAATTTCATGGAATCCAATCTTTCTGCCTTTTTACACAAAAATTTCAGAGTGAAAATTCACTTAGGATGTAGTTTTGAAGAAATTTCAGGTTAGAAAGAGGTTATAATTTCACTGAGGTATCAGGATGAAGGAAAGGCTATATTGACGAGACACACAAAATTGCCCTTCATTTGTTTGTCAAATGTGTACTGAGAGTCCACTCTGTGTGAGACACAGCTGACACTAGGAGACAAAACAGACAAATCTTACTTTCTCAAAGAGAAGTGATTATTTTGAATTTTATTGCCTTTTGAATTACTTACTAAATATTAAGCAGTGTATTTTTTCTCCCTTGATTTATAGAACAATGTGAGACAGAGGATAATTCTTTATCATATGATAAAAGTTGATCTTCAAGATTTTATTTTCATCTACCATGACTACATTAATTTTCGCTTTTTCTTTTGCCTCTCAAAAAAGAATTCTTTGCCATTAGCCGTGCTTGTTAAAAATTTAGTGCTACTTTTAGGTTCAAATAAAAGCTGCATTATGTCACAATACTTTTTAGACTTTAAAGGAACTAGGCGTCCTTGCCTATTGTTTGGCGTGGTTCTGCTGGGTGGGTGCAGTTCAGTTTCTATACTGGCCTTAACTTTTTTGTATCTTGATCTCCTCCCTGCTGCCCGGTTTTGACTTACACTCCTTTTCTCTGGCTTTCTGTCTGCTAGTTGTTCCAGTTTGAACCCTAGCTCAATTAAACTCTTTTGGCTCTAGAACCTTCTGCATCACTTCCCACTCGAAGATTTGCTCACTCCTGGAACAGAATTTTCTTTGGACGGCTGTCCTGGCAATGGTGACTTATTCCCCTACTCCACCCACCACTGGTCTTTGTCGCAAGCCTGAGAAAATGTAGCTGTGCACCTGGGAGTCTGCAGCCAGGACCAGGTAACTGCCTCTAGTTACTTTCTTCTAAAAGGGGTTTACTACTTACAATGCTTCTTGGATTGCTCATGCTTTTATTTTGCATTACTATTTATGAAAACCTTTGGGCCACATGTATATTGGATTTATCCAAGGACTCACAACTTGGCTGTGAAGAGTGAAGAATGGAATCTCAACTCACTATCAACAATCTCATAGTTTATTTTGGTCAGTGTAGCTTTACCACTTTCAAACCACTAGGTTCCATTTAAAGATCTGTCTTACTTGAAGCACATACTTTTAATATCATTCTTTTAATATCTTTTAATAGAGCATATTCTTTTAATATCTATTTAAGTATTTGATTAATTATAATAATGAAAGGATTTTCTAGTTTAGATATCTTATTCATTTTCTTAGAACCCTAACCAATAAAATAAATCTGGAGTATTGAATCAACAAGGACCTCATTAGGATAAGTTAATGTTGACTAGCAATTATTAATAGTTAAATGGAGTAAAATAAGTCAATATACATGTATTGAATATCCACTGTGACCAGCACTATTAAGAGGCTGGGGACATAATAATACGTAAGAAGGACTTTGCCCTGTGGGTGGTCGTGGTCAAGTTGGGTAGGTAGACTCTCGACAGACAATCTCAAGAAGATGTACAAAGTGCAATGACAGTATTGGCGGTGCCCAGTGCACTACGGGAAAGGACAAGAGGGGCATCCAATGCAGTCTGGGGTTAGAGTGATTGGGACAGGTGAGCGAGAAAGATTTCCAGAAGAGATGATGATTGAATTGAGTCCTGAGGAGGAGTAACGTTATCTGGGTAAAGACAGCAGGGCAGGGAATTATAGGAAGAGGCGCAGATGACTTGCCCTGAGTAAGAAAGACTTGATCCCTCACCTTCTAGGGTAAAATGACTCTGTTGTAATTTTGAGTTTTATTGTAAAAATGTATTTGAATTTTGTGTAATCCTCTATAGTATATTCATGTCAGTGTGACACATGATAGTGTCACACATTTTAATTCTTTACAATTTTACTGCAATTATCATTCCAGGAAAATGCTCCATGTTCATCTTGTGATTTTTTTTTTAATGTAGACCTGGCATATCATTGAGTACTCTTGTGAACATTAGAATTTCAGTTTGAGAAGCTTTGGCAAACACTTAAGAATGTTGATTACCGATTTATACTGACCTAGTTTGAATCCTGACTCTATTTCTTCCTAAATGGACATGTTAATCTCTCTTAAACTTTAAATCATTTCCTTTTAGTAAAAAATAGAGATTCTGGGAGATGAAAATGAGAGTGTGTATATAAAGAAGTTGTTACAATATAGCACTCAGTTCACGGATGGAGATTATCTGGACTTCTTGTAGTCAGGGAACATGTCTGTCTTGTTCATCCTTGTGTGCTCAGTGTGATGCCTGGTACCCAAGAGGTTTACAATAGATAGTTATTAAATTAATAAAGCAAGAACTCGTTATTTAGTGATGCTAAGACAGCTCTTAATGCCAACTTAGAAAGAAACTTAGAACAGTGCCTAGCATACACTAGATCCTTATAAGTATTTCCTAATTGCCTGATTTGATGAATGACTTCACTTGGTGCCTGTCCTGAGAAAGTGAGGACTGAATGGAATGTGGGCTGTGTAAATCCAAGAATAATTCTATATCAAGACTATGGTACTTGTGCTCTGGTGTTTACTGTAAGGAATGCCTAAAAAAATGCTGATGAAGAAAAATCACATGAGCTAAATCAGTGAAGACCCTTGTAACCACCACTCAGGTCAAGAAATTGAACTTTGCCAGCCTCCTCAGAAGCATCTCTGTGCCAAGGAAGTTCCCTTCCTTCCCCTAAAGTAACCACTGACTCTTATGGGAATCATTTCCTTGTCATTCTGTTTATGGTACTATCATCCAAGGTGCATCCCTAGTTATAATAGTTTAGTCTTGACAAATAAAAGAAAAATTGATGTGTTTTTTGAGTCTTTCTTAATCTGCAAACTCTTCTTTCATTCCTATTTTTGCCTTATGAATTTTCTTTTGAAGAGTTTGAGCTGTTTTGTCTGATCTCTACAGTTTCCCACTATTTGGAGTTTACATATTGAACAACTATGGTGCAGTTCAACGTGTTCCTTTGTTCTCTGTATTTCCTGCAAATTGATGGATCCAGAGAAATGGTCAGATGGGGTTCTAACTCTCTGACAAGACTATAGATGGAGCTGTTTCTCTCTCTCTCTCTTTTTTTCAATTGAGGTATAGTTGATATACAATGTTATATTAGTTTCAGGTGTATGACATAATAATTCGACATTTGTATATATTGTGAAATAATCACCGCAAGAAGTCTAGTAACATCCATCACCATGCATAGAGAATTTTTTTCTTGTGATGAGAACTTTTAGGATTTACTCTCTTAGCAACTTTTAAATATGCAATACAGTATTAATAACTATAGTTTCCATGTTGTACATTACATCCCCTTGACTGACTTATTTTGTAACTGGAAGTTTGTACCTTTTGACTCCCTTCACCCATTTCGTGCACCGCTGCGCCCCCAACCCTCCACCTCGGGCAACTACCAATCTGTTCTCTGTTTCTATGATCTTTCTTCCCCTTAGATTCCACATTATAAGTGAGATCAAATGGTATTTGTCTTTCTTCATCTGACTTACTTCACTTAGCATAATGCCCTCAAGGTCCATCCATGTTGTTACAAATAGCAAGTTTTCATTCTTTTTTATGGTTCAATAATATTCCATTGTGTGTACATACACCACAATTTCTTTATCCATTCATCTATGGATGGACACTTAGGTTGTTTCCATATCTTTCCATATCTTGGCTATTTTAAATAATACTGAAATGAACATGGGGATGCATATATCTTTTCAAATTAGTGTTCGCATTTTCTTCTAATAAATACCCAGAAGTGGGATTGCTGGATCATATGGTAGTTCTATTTTTAATTTTTTGAGGAACCTTCATACTGTTTTCCATAATAGCTGCAGCAATTTGCATTCCCACCAACAGTGCACGAGAGCTCCCTTTTCTCCTCACCAACACTTGATATTTCTGGTCTTTTTGATAATAGCTCTTCTAACAGATGTGAGGTGATACCTCATTGTGGTTTTGATTAGTATTTCCCTGATGGTTAGTGGCATTGAACATCTTTTCATGTACCTGTTGGCCATCTGTGTGTCTTCTTCGGAGAAATGTCTATTCAGATCTTCTGCCCATTTTTAAATCACGTTGTTTGTTGCGCTGTTTTCTTTCATCAGGAGGTATATCACGTCTTGATTTTGAAGTTTTGATTTTCTTTGATATGAGCAGCTATTGATACTCAAAGCCTTAATATGTTAATTCAATGGAGATATTCTAATTATATAATTTCTTTTTCATTTCATAATTGGCATACTTTTATAAAGAAATGCTTTCTCTCTTCAGCTGTTTGGTTGCCCATTATTTCACTTTATATAAGAAAGTCAGAATAAATCTTTTGACCCCTTGTTGAGGCTGGATCCCTCTTCCTCTTTTTTAACTATTATTTAAGATAAGAAATTTGTGCTCTATCATCTTTTGAATTTTAAAAATATTATAATACTCTCATGGATTTAAATGTATTTGATGAGTTTCAGCTGTTGCAATTCTTTTCTTTATTGAAGCTCAAATTGCCCCATTATTGACCAGTGGTATCCTCTTCAGGTTGGCTCTTGAGTCCTGTTGATAGTTTCCTCACTGTCTGGTGTGTCAAGACAGTCCTGGTTCTTCTCGTATATTTCCTGTCCCAGACTTGAAATCAACAATTTCTTCAAGAAATTCTGGCTTCTTTTAAAAGAAATTAGTTGTGTTAACAGGAATTTTGCTACTGTGTGGATCAGTTTCTAGGCTTCTTCAGTGGACAGTTAGGACATACACACTAATACATGTGTCTATATGTTTGCTTATGTATACACAGATATATGTTTTTTATTAAAATAAAATACCTCATGGAGCTGTTTCAAATTTAGTGTTTGTTTCCTGTACATAAGCATTTTTAATGTGGCAGAGTAGAGAGCCTGGTTAATAATGTGCCAGCTGGCTCTGGAACCACTTGATTAAATAAGGAATCCCCAAGGCTTTCAAATATTTGATATGACAATGCACAATTACCTCTAATATGTGCATAATGCTGTTAACAGGATATCATTTCTACATACTTTAAACTTCCAAATGTTGAAGTGGAAAATGTAGAAGGATTATGAGGATATTTATAGTAGGCTATGTTTCTGTTTTGCAATTCAAATTAATGTATTATATATGGTACAGTGATCAGTAAAAAGCAATTCTGTAAGCTCTCTGGGTGCTTGTTCATCATTTTATTCCCAGCACCTAGTATGGTGGGCTTGGTGGGCACATATTATGTGCTTAGCTAACTTTTGTGAAATGACTAAATATTACTGCTGGTACTATATCAGTGAGCAAGCTGGTGGCACAATTGTACTTCCTTCGCCCCGTCCTCAAAACATTTTTTGCAGGCATTAACATTAGTTTTACATGCGTTATTGAGTCTGTCTGACCTATGATAGCAAGTCAATTAAGAGCGTTTAAAGTTTATATGGGGGTCTTAACCTAAGAAACAATATTAAGAGGTTCTTAATATTATCATCAGTGTCTGGAAATTTCCTAAATGCAGTCTTTCTGTGATTTGTACCTTGTATTTTTTCATTACCTCATCAAGGTTAATATGGTAAAACAGATGATAGAAATGCATTTTAAGGCTAATACTAATTAAAATTAAAAGACAGAATGTTGATGAATAAATTCTGTAAATTGCGATGAAATTAGATCTGGAATTGGAGATAATGTTAGCATCTTACACTTTTCCTTAAATGGCTTTTAATTAACTTCTAAAAGGGTAGTCGTTCTGCAAAGCTTTGTAAAATTAGACTATCTGTCATCAGGAATTTTTTCAGAAGTTATTTTATTCCGCTACGTTATCAGATAGAATTTGTTTTTTTTTTTTCAGCT